TTCAGTGATATTTGCTGTTATTTTGTCGGTGAACTTAGATAAAGATTAACCTTTTGTTCTTATTTCATAGAAAATTAAAAACAAATCCTAATCATGGTAATACTTTATGTCTCATTGAACGTTTACTGCAGACATTAAGCTCAAACCTAAAGAATGCCTTATGCAAAAAATAAAAAAAAAATGTTTTCAAATGATCTTGTTTTCCTCCTTTCTGACTCGTTTACAATAAATTAAAACTAGTTCAAATAAAAGAAAACTTCTGTTGTATCCATTTTAAAAGTTGAGCAAAACTCAAAAACACATTTGACTTTTCAATATGCATATATACTTAGGATTGAAATTTCTGGCATTCATTTGACCTCATTCAGATATGAGAGTGTCCAATAACCAAAAAATCTATTATGGAGATAGCATCAGTAGAATATGGGAAATGGTAATTTGAATATCATTCTGACTCATTGAAGGCTCATTCTCTTGTAAGCAAAAATTATGAGCAAAAAAAATTTGGCAGATGAGATACTTATTAGAACAACTTCTTCTCTACAACATCCATGCAAACTAGATGGCCATTATAGGATGGTAAACTTGGGAAAGATTATTATGTTTCTGGTCATTCCAAATTGCTTACCATTTGGTACGAAGCCTCACACTGATGACAGATTTTATACTGAGATACAGAATGAGTAAAAACTCACAGTGCCAGCAGAAAGCAATTTGGCTGCAGAACAGCCAGTCTGTATCCCCAGAATTCAACGTGGCTGTGAATCCAGATAAGATACGATAATGTTGCCAGTTGTTTGTAAGTTTCTGAGAAAAAAGGATGAGAGGTAATGTTAAGGTATTCCAAGATGTTCAAGGAGTTAAACAGTTTATATAGAGAAAACTGTGATGGTATTACTTAGCTTTAATGTGATCCATAGCAAGTAAGATTGTATAGAAATCTGAGACAAAATTTGGTAAGCAAAGACGGAGCTCAAGCAAACCAAGGCAGAAACCCACAAAGTCACTTGGTTTTGAATCATCAGTAAAGACTGGTATAAGTAATTGATGTGAGAGGTGTTCAGTACTTCCAATCAAAAGTATCCAACCTTTTCAAGTTACTCATCAAAATATCACAGTGGGAGATTGTAAAATGCCAAGGAGGGATAAACTCTTCATTGTATTCAGCAACTGAATCTACTGTGATGTCCATCTTATGCAACTGTGGTTCGATACAAGAGCTATCTACTTACGTATAGCATGGCCAACCAATGCATGAAAATATTCTGCCAGATGGGACGATGTAGCAAGAATCACAGTTTTGCAACATACAGCAAAGAAAGTTGCAATCAAATGAAGACTGTGGTTTGTATAAATCTCTACAAACTCTAGAATAATTAAGTGCAAAAGTCCCTTGTGTGAGATGAAGTCCCTGATAATCCACAGAGTACAACACCCTCAATGTAGATTTTCATTCTCAGGCAAAGGCATAAACCAGAGATCCATAGGCTAATTGGATCAATTAAGGAAAGAAAAAATCTGGAACATCCATTTCCCACAAAGTGGAAGAAAGAACACCTAGAATGTTCAGTGCCTTTTTTACACTTGACTTTAAGCTGCATTATATATGGAATAAAAGTCAGCTTATTGTTAAAAATAAATTCTAAGAACTTAGTCTCGGCCACCAAGAGAATCTGTGCAACTGTTGGAAGAAAATTTTCAGTTAATACTAAAAAGTGTGGCACTCAAGACAAAGCCCTGAGGTATTTTGAGTTTCTGTATAAAAGACTGAGATAGTGTTGTTCATACATGCACCTGTAATGACTTGTTTTCTAAAACATTAGGAACATGAAATGAATCTTGAGAAAAGCTTTGCTGTTTGACATTTCAAGTCTAATTAAGTAGTCTACAGTGGATCTCTGCCTGTAAAATCCAAACTGGATGTTAGAGAGAAGATCAGTTTGAAGAACAAAATGAGCATTAACCATCCTTTAAAAGCATTACACAGTTTAAGCAATAGGTCTATAATTAGAAGGAATCTTTGGATACTTTCTGGAAAATGTCTCCTACTGCTAAATTAATTTCTAAAAAGCGAGGAGATGAACTATAGAAGCAGAAGAAGCATGCATAACATTTCTTAATGTATATAATCTAGTCCAACAGATTATTTCTGGACATATGTAGAGCAATTTATAATTCCACAAAAGTGAATGATGTGTTTAAATTCACAAAGCAGCCAATCCAAAAAGGAGGGGGAATTATTTTAAACTGTGTTTCGATGACCAAGAATTCAGGGAAACAAGTGTAGGTGTTTGAATAATTAGAAAAACACTCATCAAGGACAATAGTAGCTCCCTGTAAATCAAACACTTCTTGAAAGATTGATTAGGGAAGGGAGCTTCCAATTCACCCTCCGAATCTTGTTTCAGACAACTTTTGAACTGGTGGTGAGAGATGTTGAAAGTGAATTTCATTAAAGAATCTTGTTAACTTTGACATCTCGTGTGTCAAGCCCAAGGCTTAAAACTTCTAAAGGCTATGAGGTTGATAAGAGTAGGATATCTGCAGATAATTAAGCTTCTTACAGATCCTGTCTTGTTTCCTGGAAGTTAGAGGTTCACTATGGACAAGGATACAATAGGAAACACGTCAAAGTTTTGGAGATGTGCATAGACAATGTTATTTATCACAGCTTCCTTAGATTCCACACAGGCATTAACATATGGTATGTTAATGGTGGCAGAATCAAGCTCTGACACAGTGTAGAAGAAGGGCTAGTTGGCTATCTCCAAATTTTATTGTGTCACCAAAGATCAGCAAGTTAAAAATCATTTTAGGCAGCCAAAACTGGTATGTTACCTGTACATGTCCAACAATTTTTAAAGGTACATAATTACTGGTTTTCCTCATGAAAAAGTTACATTTATAATAAGGATCCAAATGCTTATTAAATTTTTTTAAAAAACACACAAATTTTTACAAAAGGGTCAGTACATTTTATTGCAAATATGCTGCCCATAAATACTCATTTACAAAGTCATGTCAACCAAATGTTCTTCAGAACTCAGAGTTTGTGTAATATATACTCATGAAGGGACATCCAACACATATTGAAGGATGATTGAATAACACTTATTCACACTAGTTGCTTTTCCATGACTTTTATTTCTAGCTGAACAATGGATTATGTCATACTGGACCTTTGGCATTGCTGAAAAGGAACAGCGGAACTCTGCTTGTTCTTAGGTGACAATGCAAAAACAAAACACATGCATATGTGTACAATGCTGAATTAGTGGTAATTCTTACAAACAAAATAGGACAAGGCAGCCAAGAATAACATTGAAACAAATTATAGGATTGGTTAGAAAATCTTTGTGATAAAAGTTTAGATAAACGACCTTTACACTCCAGATGTATATATATATTTGTTTTTTATTACTACCAATGTTTTGCTTTTACAGCTTCTTCAGGGTTAATACAAACAAACTGTTTAATATTGAAGTATATGTTAATATGGAGTGTAAAGGTCATTTATCTAAACTTTTATCACAATGTGTAAATCCCTCCAGTAATGCACTACAAACTTTGTAAGAAAACAGATAAATCTTTATTTGTATTAAGGGTAAAATTGGTCTTCCCCCCTATTCTTTCTTATTAATTAAAAGTACTGAGTGGGGATAATATCAACAGGTTTCAAAATGTTACTTGTAAAGAGGAACGTATAAGGGATAAAAATTGATCAAAGCCCAGAAGGCTTATGAAAGACTCAATAGTATCCCTTATATAAGTGGGATAATTTTCACCTAGAATTCTGAGGATATCTAGATGGAAAACCTTCATATACTTTATGACCACTTTTTTGTTTTCTTCCTAGTATGTCAATTTGGAGTCTCGTTGGGCTGAAAGGGTGTATTCACATCATATGTCCAAGATTACACAGAGCCAAGGATCAGATCAAATGATGGTCTTGCACCTTGGGGCCAAACACTAGTATCACTCAGTGGTATTAAGACAGGAACAGACAGTGCTATATATTGATTTATTCACTCATTTATCCACCAAAGGCAAAAAAAGCTTTGAGAATGTTTGCAATTCAGCAGTGGAACAGAGTGCAACAGCATGCATCCACTTTAGAAGAGGTTCGAAAACTGACATCTTGTTTCTGGTTATGAAATAATATTCAAACTCTTTATTCTCTGTATATCTTTCTCTTCAATCTGTTTTGGACTTGATGTAGGGTAGAACAGGTAGAAATCATTGCAGTTTTGGCTCTGGCTGACACTTGTTACTACCCTGATCTTTGCCATTGAAACAAGCACAAAAAACAAAACAAAACCTGTCAAAATGTTCTGAAGTGTCCAAACTGCTGACAGTGAAAACATTGGAGGGTGTATAGCATATGGCCAAACTTTGCATTTCAAATAACCTACCTTCACGTCAGCTGGTAGATGAGGAGATGTCAATGTGAAAAAGAGAATTTGAGTAAGTTCATATAAGTTGTACAACCAGAACTTTCCCTTAGTTTTCCTCATCACAAACCAGAATCCACAACAGGGTTTTTGTTTTTCTCACTGATTAGGAAAGACTATTCATCAAATTGAAAATTTTGAATGTCAAATCATAAAGGTAAAATGGTCCAAGTTTTGATTCCTTTGAGCACTTTCTTGTTGTGAACAAGAAGTGTAAAAACTTTTCTATGACTTTATACTTGTGTATTCTTTGACTTTCAAGCATTTTTAAAATGAAGCAATTTATAGAAAATTTACATGTATTTCATGGACCCTATGAAATGCTCACTGTAACTAAACATAATCTAACATTTTTGTCTTTAATAATATGAATAATATAACATTTGAATATTAAAAAAAATACTGCTGATTTTTTACTTATCTCTTATCTAAAATTTTTAATCATTCCTATACAAAATTCAATCTAAGTTTATTACAGCAATACAGTAAAATAAAGGAAAACTGCACAGTGAACATGATGATTATACTGTCTCTAATTTGAACCCTCACCTTGTAACAAAAGGATTACATTTCTCACCTATGCTACCTGGTTGGCATATCTGTACTTGGACATTGCTTATTTGCACTGAAATATATAAAAATATCAGCCTTAAAAAATAAATATTTTTTCAGAATGGTTAAAAATTAATGTTATAAATTTCTTTTCAACTATTTTAGATTTTGTTTATATGGTTATACATAATTAATTACTCTTATGACCAGCATAAGTAAATCATTGTAGTAAAATATACTAATAGTATCTTAAAAGAAAAGGAAGCAATAAGTTTTTGTATAAAAACTATATAATCAATTCAAAATATTAAATCTTCTCTCAGTGGCATAAAACAAAAGGTGAAAGTAAATGGGCCCAGACTTACAGGGCCAGAAAGACCTATTTAAAATTATATGTTTTTATATAAAAAGGGAAAAAAGAATAATAAAAAAAGAAAAAAGTAAAATAAGACTTTCTATTATAAAAACCATAAATCAATTGGATCTTTATCTACAGTTCAATACCATATTTGCCTGAATATAATGTGCACTTTTTTTTCCTGTAAATACCTTCCACAAAAAATGTTGCTTATTCAATGCACTGAGTAGGATAGATGATGATATGCTGTAAGAATCAGAAAAAAGATGAAGCAAAGTTTCCTTATTCTAGTTCTTTATTCTCTATAGCAGATAACAATCTGCTGATGGAGATTACTGCAGTAACATTGAACATCTATGTTGAAAGGGCCACCAAAAGTAATATCTTTTGCTGCCTGAATGGGTGGTGTCTTTATGTTACAGACAGAGATTTTAGTGAAAGAACAAGTCATGAAGTAACACCCTCAACTGGATAAAACGTAAGGTTGAAGTTTCCTTCCTTAGTTCAGTTGTAACTGAAGATCAACAAGTACAATTCCTTTAGGAGGTCAACTTATGAAGCTCTACAGAAAACTACCTTAAGAGAGAGAGAGAAATTTGGAGACCTTATCACAACAAGGGAGAAGCAACAGTCTTATTGTCTGAGCAAGTATGTTTAATTCACTAACATTATTTCACACACTAGAAAACTCAGCCAAGTTATCAAATACAGACTACTCAATGATTTATCTGGTCAATCCTGCTGATACTTATGTGGAAATCAGTTTTACCTGAAAATACCACAAGTCCAATGTGAATTAAACATATACTGTAAAGCTGTAGAGAGCCATAGAATATACATATCAACATCTATTTTTCAAGTCAAACATTAGGGATAATAGAGCTAATAATTTAAAAATTTGTTAATACTGAGTTGAGGGTCACAAAGGAAGCCTACTTTAGGCTACTTGATATGCAACAAAAACAAAGTCTTACATATAATGAAGTTAATGAACATGAAAAACATCTTTACAGAAATAGCAGTGCATCATCTTACATTGAAAAAAAAGGTCAACCTAGTGGAAAGGCTGAACCCCTAACCATTACATTTTTGTTTGGATTTTATATTGGTAAATATGGTGTGCTTTGTAGTTATGTTTATTTTGCATAGAAACCATGCTCATTTCTATTTTCTGAAATGGCAACCTTGACCTTTTAACCCCAAAATCAATAGGAATCTTTCCCATCTTCAAGGAAGTAGCCTGTAAGGTTTGATTGAAATATACTTTTTAAAACTGTAGTTATTGTGTTGAAATTAGATGTCTACAGATGGCCACATCATCATCATTATATCATCCTTAACATTTTCATTCACTGTGGATAAAAATAGTAAGACACAATTTGATATACAGAATTAAAACAACACACTATTCAAGGTACTGCATACTTAGAGACATATGTTAACCCTCTCGCTACTGGCAACCAAGTTCATAACTACAAAGCAACCATCAG